ACTCCGACCGACCCAAAAATCTGCAGACTAGAGCCAACTAGCACAGACTTGGCCAGACTGAGAATCGGGGCTAAAATTGGGGTAAAGGTTGTGTAGTGTAACACTGGCTTTAGCCTAAAAAAGACCTTACTTACTACAACCTGCCAGATGCTGACAGACACTTACAAATAAATAAAGCAGCACATCATTTTAAAAGTCATAAAAAACACTATTTTGTACAACAGGCCTAAGTTTCTGCACTAGTCTCTCATTCTCGCCATAAGTGTTATCCTGAAGTTGACTTGTGAAGACTTTTTCCACTTACACATTTTTAGAGTTTATGGATTGGCACCAAGTTAAATTAAAAGTGAAAGCACTGAATGAAAAACATGTTACATAGCTTAAGTGGAGAGGCAGTAAAAGCTAAGTGAAGGTGTTTGGGTGGAGTGCTCTGTGCCTCTGCACTCTCTGCACAATGAACCAATTCCACCATCCTCCAGTCACCTTCACAAAACCAAAGTATTAAAGAAGGAAAGAAATAGGGCTCCCCGTGCAAACTTTAAATCAGATCTCCAGACTAAGGCTGGAAGGTATACCGGTAAAAATGTGAAAAGCAGTGCGGTAATGTCCCATTATGTATAGTTTACCCTATTAAGGATACATCAAAAGCCAAAAGGCGGTGAAACAATACGAAGCCCTGTCCCCAAGACTAATTATACCCGAACAGCTTAAATAATTCTCATAAATTCAACAATGCATAAACTGTTTCAGCATTTATGTAACTATTTACTTCATTCAGTTCAAATGTGTACATAATTTCTACATGAATAAACATAATTATTACCACAAGTAGGTAATCAACCATGTAAACTGAATTCACCACTTCTATTACATTTTTTAATTTGTCATTTTCAGTCTTCTGTTACCTTTTTTTTGGACAAAACTCATAATGTGATAAACTTGGCAATAATAATGATGATAACGATGGTTATTATTACTGCTGCTGTTATAGCCCAGACCATGTTACTTCCTTATGGCCAATTTTTCATTGGTTACATCTATAGCTGAGTTCAAAATATCAATATGCCAATGTATAAAGGATAAGCGTGTGGTGATGTGTGTATTGACACAGTGACGGCTGCATCAATATTTATAAATTTACTTTTACACAATGCTTTAATATACAAGTGAAACAGATTCTGCATCCAAGTCTGTGACCCTGTTTTACACCTGGAAACGTATCTGGATGGTATCCTGATAAGATTTTAGTCACATGCATTTAAACAATGGTAGTCTCTAGCTAGTTGGCCTGAAATCCTGCCGTGTGGGACAGAATACGCCAATGCATTGTCACACAGCAACCAGTTACCAACTGTTTATTAAGTTGTCTGCAGTTTGTTTGACATAGTAGTGCCTGTACAAATTGTTATTAAGCATTTCGTTTCATCCAATCTCCAACTATGTGCGTCCACCATGATTATGTTCCTCGCAGACCCGGATCATGCACCCAGTGACGTACTGCATGGGGAGGTTCAAATCTGTCTCAGACCACCTCCTGAAGTGGTGTGAGTGATTGGATTTGTATCTATTTTATATGCACTTTTTTACATTTTTATGTGGCTTGCCCTTATCCAGATATAATCCTGATACTCAAGATGCATGAAGTGACCAGGTGTAAACAGGGTCTGAGGATTGTACAGCGCCCAGCATGTGGTAAACCTGTACTCTTATAGATAGGGTTTAGCTCTTTTTTAAATTATTTGCATAAAAGGTTTTATTGGAGAAAAAAAGCGTTGCTCCGTGCCTCACACTCTTTGGAGAAATGGAGCACCAAGCAAAGTTTATTCATTCGTTAATCATTTGCTGTTTTGTGTGTGAATGAAGAGAGTGTCCTTTCCTAACTGTCATTATGGCCGTTATGATCATCATTCGTCGCAGAATCAAGTTAATTTCACTTTCACATATGCGGTTTAGTTCTGAGTAATTAGATTGTAGCTGCTGTGGTTAGTGCCACAAAATCAAGCAGCATTATAAACACAGATCAAAAATGAGGGCATTTTGGTTACGAGTTTATAATACTGCTTCATAAAAATTGTGTGAATAAAATTGAATAAAAGTGCAGAAGGTTAGGCCCTTAGAGTGAACCACATGTATGAAGCTCCTCCAGCATTACTAATGCATTCGTTGTTTTTTGCAATTTTAAAATGATCTTAAAACAATTTAGGTGAGCATTTACAGAAAAACTATCATTATTATCATTATTATTCTCCCCATGTTTATTTATTCATTATAACATCAGTTTCAGGAACAAATCTGAAGATAAATATCGGCCAAAAATGTCACAATATATGTACTGTGTTTCACTCCCGCTCTTCATCCATCACCCCAAATAACCAAGATTTCAATCTCAATCAGTCATTTAATCAATAAACAAAATGGAAAAGCATTAAAATACATGGCATTACTTACAAATACCAAGCTAGGTTGTCATTGCAGAGTTTGGGTGATAGCAGAAACTGCTTTGTTACGGTTTCACAAAGTGCTGGGGAATGCTGCCGGTCTGTGCTGTTCTGAACAGCCCTTCTAGTCTCAGACAGGGCTGCCTTTGCATATAGAAGTCTTAATATTATACTATAACCAAGATAAAGCAAAGTGTAAAAGAGCTCTCAGAACAACATCAAAAAGGCAACTTTCACCAACACTTATGTTAACAAAAGCTATATTTAGAGAACTGCTTTGAAGGCTACATTCACTTAACATACATGCCCAGACAGGTGCAAACAAATACACACACACACACACACAAGCCTGCTGCTCAGCTAAGCTCGAATGTAGCATGGGGGAAGTGTGTTTCAAACAGGTGTGACAGGTAGAAGAGAATGTATCTGTGTCTGTGTTTTCTTGATTCAGGGTTTCTGGGATGTCTCTACTGTCCTTGTATTACCAGAAAGTGTGAAGAAAAACACTCCTGATATCAAAGCATCTTCAACCAACAATGCCTGCTGTGTACACACAAAACGGAAATGCAAAGGCAGCCCTCCCTCACTACTACGGATGAGCGATTTCCTTCCCGATCCAACACCAAGCAATACAGAGACTGGTATACCAACATGAAATACCATCACCAGCACATTTAAGAGTTGTGCATGTTGTGCATGTGAAAAGGGGAACTCTTTGCAAATGTGCAGAGATGAAAAAGTACAGTACTGTGCAAAAGTCAGAGACTAAATTTGAAACAGCCTACGTATATACACACACATGCATGAAAATGGACTTGTGGGACATTTCTGCCTGTCAACAAATGCAGTGAGAGACTGACATAATAAATGTGCATGGTACATACAGTCATGAAATCCAGTCATAAGCGGTCACTGGAGGCATGATCACACGGCAATGCAAGGTGTAAACTAAAGACATGCAATTTAGCCAAACAGATATTCAAATAATGTCTTACATATTCGAATAAGAGCTTTTTTCAAAAACACATTTTATAATAAGAGAAATATCGAGAATCAACAGGATCAGAAATATTGATGTTTTGTTTCTGCTGTCCATCACATTGTTTTGAAAGAAAAGCTGAAAATACATTAACACTAAAAAGTCATTTTTGCACGTGACCTATATCTGTCTAATGTTTACAATAAAGCGTAAGCCTCCTTTTGGTGGTTCTTCAGTAAAGGTAGTGGTTCTGTTTAGAACCATAAGTTGTATACAGAACCATTTCCTGCTGAAACGGTTCTTCAGATGGATAGAGAATGTGTTGTATTTGGTTTTGAAGGTGACAATAGCAGAACTCTCTTTGGTGCTATGTGGAACCATTTTCAACAAGCTTCTATATAGAACCATATATACAACACACTCTCCATCAGTCTGAAAAACCACTTTACCATGCAAAGAACCATAAGCAGTAAATGATTCTATACAGAACCCACGGTTCCAAACAGGACCACTGACTTTACTAAAGAACCCTTGAAGAAGCATCTTAGTTAAGTGTGCGGCACTTCTCCACAGTTCTAGCATGAACAACAGCAAGTGTGGCGAAAAGCGCAAACACTACTAAAAATGCCTAAAGAGACATCCCTTCCTCATTACTCTCACTGTCCATCCATGTCGGGATCCTTGTCCTGCTGTAATGACCGCTCCATCTAGCCCAACTCGCCATCCAGACCTACTTTCTGCAATGCAGCACCCACTGAACCCATCTTCTCCCAACCTCAGTGTAGCTCACTTTCTGGCAGAGTGCACCCCTGCAGCGCTGCACTGCGCATGCAGAGAAAAGGCTCATTATTTAGCAGCAGCTGGAGTCGGGTCAGTGCGCATGCGCAGACACAATTCTCTGTACACAACATAGGGGATCTTTATTTGGCAAAAGGCTGACGCACAGGCCCCTTAACAGAAACAACTTACTCGCTAATGTATCCCAGATTGGTCATAAATGCCTAGCCATGGCATACTAATCTACTATACAAGCTATTTACACCACAGAACAACTCACCTTGTTTTGAAAAGGTACTAAAAGAGAGATGGGCGCTGACCCTCCACTCAACAAACAGAGCCAAAATGCTAACAACTTATATCCAGGCTAGTTAGCTAAGCTAGCATGCTAAGTTGGACAGCTGGTTGAAAAGATGCGAGAGTTTTAAATATGAGGCAACACCAGCTGGTGGCAGTGGCTTAGCACGCCGACTATCAGGACGTATAAACAACGAGCCACCGAAACCTCTCCATATAATACACCGGCCAAAAAGCAGTAATGAACTCAAATGCCGATGTGATTCTTGCTCATTATGTAAGAATAACAGAATAACTGGCAGCCTGTAGCTTGAAGCTACTGAAGTCTGCTGCTTTAGCTCCTGGCTAGCCCGTCAACAGACTCCTAAGCTACAGCTAACGACCGTAAAATGTCTCCGCGCACGAGCTAACGCTCGCGTCTTCCGTTCATCCGCTTCAGGAGAAGCGCGACAGCCGACCATCATTAAAATGTGAGGCTTGTAACGCCATATTTTTCTTTCCAAACTTACCTTTTTGAGGCTTTTCTTCGACCGTATCGGATATTTTTCTGTCGCGCTGCTTCACGTCCGGGTTAAGCGTGTGACGACAAAAATCGGGCACGCGCACGCAGGAAAAGGGGAGCGCGCCCCGTGTTCCAGCTCCATTCAACTCAGTTCAGATCAGTTCAGTGCAGATCAGGGCTGGATTTAGTGATTGTGGGGCTGTGGGAAAAAGACAGGAATGAGGCCCCTGAATGAAATTTTTAAATGTGCAATACGTGTAAAATATCTCTATAGTGTAAACATTTTTTAGTGTTTATAAGGAGTAATATAATCAATACTCCATGTGCAATTCGGATAAGATATCCTTACAGTGTAAATATTTTTTTGCTTTTTTATTTATAATTGTTTATTTTGTTAAATTTTGTGAATAGAGTTTATGTGAAGGATTTTATATTTTTTATCTTACTTTTTTATCTTTAGTATTAGTATTTAGTTGTGGCTCCCAAGTGGTACGTCCGTTTGCAATGCAAACCAATTATATCTTGGCATGTGAACTCATCTAGTTGATAATATAGACTATGTCTCATTTTGAGATTGTTGTAAGAATATTATAAGATAATTTAACTTAAGTATAAGTAATTAAACTTTCTTAAGTGCAATTTTCTCACTACATTAGCAAGTAATTAGGCTTGTTTTTTGCTTGAAACAATGTAAATTATATTCCAATATAGTGAGATAATTTAGTAGAAAGTAACATAATAAAGTATTTTTTTTCTTTGTTTATATTGTTTTCCAGGAAGTAATAAGTAATGTATTTGACATTCCCAGTATAGACATCCTGAAGGCTTAATTAATTTTGAACACTTGCTTGCTGTGATTTTTGTGTTTCTCTACTGCACTTGTATAATTTTTATTTGAATTTCCCTCTCAACACCCAGAAAATCACACCAAAGAACCTCCTGTGCAGTCTGTCTTCACGCAGTGTCGTCACGTAACAAGATGAAATAGTCCATTATAATGATGATCAGGGGGTGGGGCTGTTTTGAAATTATTGGAAAACATCAACACATACAGTACATCTAATTTGTATTTTATAATTAGTATGGTCCCTGGCTCTTGGGGGCCCTAGACGGCTGCCTACCATTGCAAAGTGCAAAGACTGCCCCTGCTTTAGATCGACAGATCAAATATTGTCTGAAAGCATTCTTGCAAAAACTCCAAGTAGGGAAGTTTTTCTTAAAAGCTTCCCTACAAGAAGAAACGCTGAGAGAAATGAAATAGCACCAGATAGAATTATGATATATTTGTATACAGAGGGGAACCATCAGGGCCTTCTAGATTTCTAAACTAAAAATATACATAATGCATATCTGGATTTTTAGTGAATTTTATATTAAATAGACTTGTGCTTGTATTTAAACTCAGCAATTACAGTACTGCTCTTGTTTCATTGTTATGTTTTGAATGGAAACAAAAGCGTTGAATAAATCAAAATACATTATTTGCCAGCAGATCTTTAAAACAATTAAAAACTGAAAATTGCTGGTGCATAAGCATTCTTCCTGCCAGATTTGTTCCAGGTCGTTCAGGTTAGTTGGATGATACTTATGGCCCACAGTTTTCAAATATTGCCACAAATTTTGATTCTCGATTTGACTGAGATCTGGGCTTTGACTTGGCCATTGTAGAACATTCACCTTTTTGTTGTTTAAATACTCCTGTGTTGCTCTGGCTGAAAAGTTTCTCCCAGGCTTTAGTTTTTCAGCAGTCTGAAGGAGGCTGTCTTGCAGTATCTCCCTTTATTTTGTACCATCTATCCGTCCTTCAATTTTAATAAGATTGCCAGTCCAACAACACGATGCTGCCACCCCCATACTTCACTGTTGAGATGGGGTCTATTGAGGAATGAGAAGTATTAGGTTTATGCCACACATAGTATTTTAAGTTGTTGCCAAAAAAGCTCAATTTTTGTCTCATCTAAAAAAGCCTTAACCTAAATCTAGTTGGTTCACTCTGATGCTTTCTGACAAACTCCAGACAAGCTTTGACAAGGTTTTTCAGTAATCAGTTTGTTTTCTTCAGTAGTGGAGTCATGGCTTCTTTCTAGTCACTCTCCCATACAGGCCAGTTGTGTGCAAAGCTCTTGATATCACTAACAAGTCCCCTTCTTGCTCTGATGCTGAGTTTTGAGGGATGGCCTTGTCCAGGCAGTGCCTGGGTGGTATTCTGAAGCTTTACATTCCTCACAATTGATCCAACAGTGCTCACTAGGATATCCAAACAGTTGGATATTATTTTGTAGCCTTTTCTTATCTTGCGCATGTCTGTAACTTCTTTGGTCGTTGGTCATTTGGTCTTTTGGTCATTTTCACAGCTTTCCTTTAGATTTACAGTCTGACGTGTGATACTTGAATTAAGGGGGTCTTTTATCCAGAAAAGATTAACTTTTTTATGATTCACAACTGGAGGCTGATTGTAAGCCAGTTGTTTCCTTGGTAGGACAATACCTTTCATTTGTGTAAACTTGAAGCCTCCACAGCACAGGGGTTGAATACTTATGCAAACAGCATTTTTCAGTTAGTAATTTTTGACACAGTTTTTTCCTACATAAAACCAATATCACTTTAAATGAATTCATTTTGAGGGTCAGTCTTTCAAAATTAAATATGACCCAGCATTAATATCAAAGTGTCATTTGTACCCCAAATGAATCTGATGACTTTTAAGAGAGTTTAATAATTTTACAAAGCATACATAGACTATATGGCCAATAGTATGTGGACACCTGACCAGCACACCTATATGAGATCAGGGTATATCATATTCCAAAACTATGGGGAATAATATGAATAATATAGCTATAACAGCCTCCACTCTTCTGGGAAGGCTTTCCACAAGACTTGTAGCATCACATGGTAGAATACTGACATGCACTTATTCTCTAAGAGGCTGTGTTTGCGGTGGGTCTCCTTGATGCAAACAAAACAATTCTAAAGTGGTTGTCTTAGTTAAAACCCAAAACAATAAAACTCTGTTATGACATTGAGTCAATCTATTCGTTCTGCATTTCAGTGGAAATTTGCATCTCATCTAAAAACCAAAACCAAAGCCTGCTGTTGTCTCATTTTCCGTGGAAGCCGCTGGTTATGGAGTTTGAGACGATTATCTGAATTTTTTTCATTTTGCCGGAAAAATAAACATGCTATCATCATCATTTTAATGATGTTTATCAAATGATTGCATGAGAGTGTTTTAAAGGGACGCTCATTTTGTTTGCTTGCGATATTGTTGGATTTCATCTGATAGTCACTGCAGTAGAATAAACAGTGACATTCACTCTCTCTTTGAGAGGGACATCAGTGAGTGAGTGACTGTGTGAGTGAGTGAGCGAGTGTGTGTATGTGCTGTGTGTGTGTGTGTGCAGGTTCTGTGTTCCTCTTCCAGCCCTGCGTCTGCAGAGAGATGTGAATCCCAGCCAAAGGAAGTTCATGAAAAAAACACTCAGTGGGGAGAAAAAAAACTTGAAAGGAAGAAAAAGGGGAATAAGATCAAAAACAACAGGGGGAGCATGTGAAGATATGCACGGCTTCGCAAACTGTGAATAGTGCTGTGTGTTAAATGTGACCCCATAACTTGATTAAAGTGGAATTTCACCAGTTTTTCAAAATGCCTGCATAATTCAATTGTTGAGATATAATAAAAGTCATTCAGAGTTTGATGTGAAAAGGTTAATTGCAGAGAAACCTACCAACAAAGGCTTCTTTACAGTGGTGGTGATAGGAACCAGGAGTCATGATGTCCACAACACAAACAGTCATTTTATTTACTGTCCAAAAGCAGCAATGAAGAGACACGTGTCTACATATATCTAGCTACTGCATCTTTGTTGTAATATCAATTACCACAAACTACGAAAATTCAACATGTTTCCCTGATGTGAACAGTAATTTTGAGTGGTTTGATCTAAAATGGTCCATTATAGAGAAACTTACTGACTCTGATTTCCTTACAGTGGTGGTGATAGGAACTAAGAATCATAATGTCTACAACACAAATAGCCATTTTATTTTGTATCCAAAATCAGCAGTGGACCTACACCTGTCTTCTGAGTTTTTATATGTAATGTTTCTATTTATATAGTGAGTTTTTATATGTAATGTTTTTATATACTGAACTTTTATAAGTAACATAAAAAATTACATTTTAGCCCAAAATTGTATCTCAAATCTGTTGTAAAACAATGCAACAATTTAATGCAAAATCTTCCTGTAAGGTAGCTTTTGGTTTTTTATGTTTATCTTTTTTCACAAGTTTTTTGTTGCTGTGAGTGTTTTTTTCAGAAATATTCAGTGTAATTCAGTGGTTGAGATGTGAACAGTAATTCAGAGTGGTTTGATCTGAAATGGTTATAGAGAAGCTGACAGACTCAGATTTCCTTACAGTGGTGGTGATAGGAACTAAGAATCATAATGTCTACAACACAAATATAGACATTTTCTTATTATCTAAATGACCAGCGGACCTGCACAAACTCTTCTGAGTTTTCATTTATAATGTAAAGTAATAATAGTTAATTAGTAATAAATCTGAGACAAAAGTTTTCTTTGATATCTGTTTTGCCCTAGAACACCCTGCATGTACCTCTCCACCCTGAGGCTGCCCTGTGTTGTGCTTCTTGCAAAAAGCAGGCTGGGCTGAAACACTCTGTATTACTACAGTGTGAACAGGCGTGGCTAAACTGCTTTAGGCTGAATAGGCAAATATATGTAAGTGCTTTGGTTTTTGTGGCATCACAGAAACAATGAATTCAAAACGGGCTGTTTTTGTTTTTGCTGCTTAGCTGCCATTTATGGACTGCATGGTCAATACATGGACCGGGGAATGAACGGTATGTTTTGAAACTGTAGCAATGTTTATATATTATATCAAACTCTGTCAAACAAATGAGGAAAAAATGCTCCATTTTAAAGGCCCTTTAATGCAAAAAAGAATTTTGATATCTTTTAATGGTCACATTTCTATTACATCTAAGTGCTGTAGGTAGATTCTATTAATGTTTTAAGTTATTTATCTGATGCATGCACACACATGCAAAAGTATGCAAAAGTATCGCC